AAAATAGTGATTACTTTCTGAGAGGGTCATTACAATCTGCACAATGAGTCATGATATCTTTTGCAAGCAGAGAAACTCAGAGGAATGCAGTGACATTTTTGTTGTCAAAAAATAAATCTACGTGGCCAAGTTACTCAGCATTATTTCTTGTTAGGTGTCCTTTGTTTGTCCCAAAAACCATGCTATCCTTTCAGTAATTGAATGTTCAAATAGGACACGTCAAAATGGATGCGACCCCAAGCAATGTAACAGGTCAGCGTGACCTGGGCCACAAATATTAAAAACTATTTTCTTGCCCAGAAAATGTTATTTGTGTATAAAAGAGTATGACTACGTTTGTTTTTCTGTTACAGGGACCCCACGTTGTCTTCTAGTCCCACTTCTGTTAAAGTAGTGTTTTGGCATTTGTGAGTTTTCTTTTGTGTAGATGTGAATAAAATCCTGATTTCTAATGAGCCACATCCACACACAGATGGGCAGAAAAATCATTAAATTAAAGAAAATAAATTTACTGAAAAAGATCACAGAGGTGAGTTTGTTTTGTGCTTAATTACATCTAATGTTAGATGCAGATGATTATAAGTCAAAAATCCATGCATCCATACATCCATACATCCATCCATACATACATATCCGCTTATCCGGAGTCAGGTTGCAGGGGCAGCCACTTCAAAGAAACGAACTGCCCCATTAAGTCAAGTAAACTGAACTTCTGCTGATCAGTTTCACACGTCAGCACAGACATTAAACTGGAGTACCTCGGGGTTAAGTGCTTTGCTCAAATGAAACTCAACAGTAGCAGTAAGTAATAGGAAAGCATTTGTTTAGAAATATGTAACCTCTTGAACTTTTTCCTTGTGTTTCAAGAGATGAATGTCATGAGAGGGCTAGGGTTATTTAACTAATGCATCATCTGAGACCACTGTAATGCCTGGAGATATAACGTAAACAGATCCACAAACAGTTTTTGAGAGTGAGGGGCTGAACAGATCAAACTGAAGGAATTCAGTGTGCATGAATGCACAAGAGCATTCAAGACATGCATTTGGGTCAGCTCAGCTAGCGTGTTATTAGTGTTGCTATCTTTGGCGATCGCATCTAATATAATTCACTGATAAATATTAAATGAAGCCCATTTGGTTAATAAACTATATTTTCTCAAATGTGGTTAAAAACTGAGATTCTGAATGTTGCTGCCCAAAACATCTCATTAGCTGCAATAAAATTCAAGAAAGCCACTTGGGTTTCAGAAGGCTAATTTTAATTGTATTCAGCAAGTGAAGGAATGAAATGTCATCTACTGACCAGACGGCTCAATCACAAATTTATTCAAGTTTTGAGCCAAGGCACAATTCATTTAGCATACATAATCCTCATTAGAATCAGTATTTGTTGGGATTTTGGGGACGAATCTTGACAGCAGAAGTCCCTTGGTAAGATATTATTTTTGGGTCCTCTGTTGTATTGCCGAGAGCAGGGGATTATGAGATAAAACTATACATCATGTAGGCACTAAGTAACTGTTGTCCATATATATAAATAGAAATTGCTCTTCAAGTGGAGCTCCCGGATGCATGACTTGAAGGATTCAGTCATGCGTAATGGGATCAGCTGCCCAATGCCACTATCCTGCAAATACTCGTCGTAATATATGAGCAATAAGTCTAGAAAGGACAATCAATAACAAAAGAAGATGCTGGTGGTATATCAGATTCACTACAGACAAACAGGAGCAACAAGAAGGTCCCTCACTGCACTGAGCTGCTCATTAACTTTCTGCAAATGTATATCAGAAATGCTTCTGCTTTGGCAGTTTCTTCTTTTTGACATGCCTAGATTAATTAGCATAAATAGATAATCCACACGGTGATTGTTAATGGAATGGTTGCAGCAAAGAGTTTTATGCATGAGTGTTTGCTGCAGTGAGATCCTTCTTTCAATTAGAGTGTCTGTTTTGGTTTAGTCAATGCCGTTCGGATATCAAGTTATTAGAAAAGGTGTGTTAATGCCACATTTGTCACATTTCAAGTAAGTTAGTAAAAGCAAGAGCATCATGTAGCAATGCTCTGATGTTCTCTTTGACTCTTGTCCATAGTTACACATACATAGTTAAACACTTACAATGGTATTGATTAAATTACTCAAAGAATCTGAATGCACTAAGGGGATATTAAACTCTCACATCCACCCATCCATAGTCAGCTTGTGGAGGTAACAGGGTCAGATGTCTCTCCCCAGCAGAATTCTCCTTCCTGGGGATCCCAGGCCAAAGAGGATTTACAATACTATCTTCCACAGGGTCTACTCTCAGTGGGATGTGCTGGAAAATACCTCAGACGAAACCAAAAGGCATCCCAGTTACATACTTGAACAAGCGTACCCTAACCCTAACTCTTACTCTAAACCTAACCTCATGGAAGAAGCTTGTTTCAGCTGTGTGTAATTGCTCACCATAAGTGATTGGAGCAATGCAATCATCACTGCAGTTAGTCCATATTTTGCTCAGACCTTTGCTTAAGATAGGCGTGTCTAATCCTGGTCCTCGTGGGTCACCATCCTGCATATTTGAGAGGTTTTTCTGCTTCAACACACCTGATTTCAATCAACGAGTGATTAACAGCCTTCTGCAGAGCTTGACGACCTGCTTAAGATGTAATTCGACAATTAAATTAGGTGTGATGTTCCCTGGCTAGGATAGGACGCCACTGACCTAAGGGTAGTTGACTCTTATTCCAGTAATGTTGCCCCATAGGATTCTTATCTCTTCTTTCTACCGGACACGAAAGCGGTGTGTAACGAAATAGACGTTTTACCTGTGAGATCCCTTCCAACTGGGAGTGATTTTGATGTGAAGCTGGACCCAACGCGTTCCACACAGCTGATCCTGCGAGGTCACAAAATCATGGGAGAAACACAGCGCGTGATTTCAGAAGTTCCCAAAATAACAAGTAAGAAGAAAGACAGCTGTATGTATCCAAAAAGGTCTGTAGTTATTTGCTGTCCTGTTTACGTCGGCTATGGGGGTTTCACAGGAAGTGACGTACTGCATGTGACTATTGTTGAGAAAGTTTCCTGATGTTTTACACAGATTTTGTGTTTGACTTCCGTTCTGGTCCAATCTAAACTGTGGATTATGACGTAGTTAGGAAGCATAGCGAGTAAAATGGACACAAAATGCAATGATAGCGTCCCTTTGCTTGTAAGACGCATCCAACATGTATTTTTTACTTTGCTGCCAATGGAAAGGAGCACCTCCGCTCTACCAGCGGCTAGTTCCTGCATAGTACGTTTTGCAGCCATTTTCTGATGCTTTCACGTCCGGTGGAAAGTAGGGGTCAGGACCATTGCTTTAGGATGCCAACAGAACCACATCATCTTCGAAAAGTGGAGATAAGAACCTGTCCAGCCCCACTGTCTCCAGGACTACAACTCGAGATAGGATTGGAGACGAGAGGCAGCACTGGTGAAAACCAACCAGCAGTGGTAACCTTCTTGAACTTTTGTCAAGATTTAGAGCCAAGGCTTTTTTTTGTACAAGGACAGGATCTAGTCCACTCTTTTGGTCCAAAATCAGCTTCCTGTCCCAGTCACTCTAAAAGAAAAGCAGCAACTTATATCGAATCCACCTAACATCTTGCTTAGCTTCAGAACCTAACTTTTGGTGAGTTACTAGAGCAGTATAGTACAAAATTTGCAATAAAATAACTTTTTTTCCCCTCTCCAGGTACTTGGGCATCTTTCCATTAGCCAGAACTAGACAAACTGTTGGAGTGAGGTACGTTTTCATCACATCTAATTGGTTTAGAAACATGAACAAAGGCAAATTTCAATTATAAAATTTCACCATGGCAGTTGCTGCTTCATATGGAAGTGATTAATGAACAGTTTTATTTGTAAAATAATAATAAACTTCCAAACTGATGGCCCTTAAAAGCATTGCAGTAGCACGTTATTTCCTTTTTCTCTTCAAGGAAATGAAACTCTGGCTTTATTTCAATTCTAAACATGAACTTGAAGCTTGATTATTTACTCGACTTTTCAAAGTGTAAACAAACAGGAAAAGCTGTGATTCAGAAGAAAACTTGTATGGTGGATAATTTTTCTTAGAATTAATAATTTGAAACTATTTTCTTGTTAACTCTGCTGGATAGAAACTGTCAAGGATTGTTTGATTATTGCACGTGTTTGTGGCTAAGCTATTGTAAATAGATATGACATTATTTGAGTTAAGCGGTTGTATAAACTGATCTTATGCATATCTGTAAATGTTCTGTGTCATCATTACACAAAAAATAAAATGCAATATCAAATGATTATTCCTCTCTGCTTCCATCCTTAGTGAATAAAGCTAATCACTCATGCCTTTAATCCATTAAGAACCATTTTATTGATGAGGGTAAAGAACCACCTTTAGTTTGACATGGGTTACATTTGTGATGTGGAAGTAAAATCATTCATAAAGACAACCAGATTGATTTTCTAGAAATATGTGAACATGAAACGAGTGTAGAGAGGTGGTAGGGCGAGGTAGGAGAGACTGAAACAAAAGAACAGAGATGTAGTGGCAAACCTTAAGTACGAGTTAAAAAGTCAGATGTTAAGAGGGCTGGAACACATCCAGCGACGGAGACTCAATGAAACAGAGAAAGTTAAAAAGGAATCCTCCCCCTCTGCCCGTCCCTGCGTCTCACCCCACCGGCTCTTTTTGGGTACCTCTTCAAAATCAATTTAAGAAATTACCATTCGAGCGGAGTTCTGTCATTAGGATTTTATAATTTCATCTCCCCCCTCCAGTGCCTTCATCCCAGAGCCCCACAGTTCATCTCGGCAGCACAACCCGGGTGAATAATTAACCACCGCCGTGAGCTGAAAGACGATGAATGACACACGCCTTCTATCACCCACACACTGCCGTCCACCTTCAACAGCGGCGTTCTTTTAAGTCTCTTCCTCCTCTTTTATCTCTCCATCCCGTTCTGCTGGAATCTGACAAGTCTTTTTGCTAGCATGTAAACATTTCAGCACTGAGACTTAACACACGCAGAACCCATATTGAGCTTGTCACGAGCACATACTTGGTTACCGTCTGTCAACATGAAGACGAAGAGAAGCTCTTTCCTCTTTCTTTGTACTTTGGAATAAGAAGGGGAGGCCGTGCAGAGATGGAGAAAACCATCTAATCTCTGTTACCTGCAGTGCTGAGCTTTTTAAATTGGGGTGGAGTCAAAGTGAAAAGGACAGAGGAGCTACTTTTTGTAGGGGAACCACAAGGTGAGAGAGTCTATACCGAGATTTAGACCTTAAGGTGTTTCTTGGACGTGTTGAAGTGTGTCAAAGTTAAAAGTAAGTACCATCATTCCTGGTACGGTTAGATTCCTGAGAAATTTCCATCTGAGATCATCCAAGATTTAAAAAGCAAGTTACCCCACTGCCATATTATCACTCTATCCACACTTCCTGTTTGAAAAATGCACCAAAAGGAGGCATTGGTGGATTGAGATGGTGGTGCTGCGGCAGTGACTGACAGCACCACCACCTCTCCAGACCTTTCTGTCACCACTTGAATGTTCTTCGTCCAAGAAATGAGCCGCTGACAAACATATGCATTACCCCCCCCCCCCCCCCGATGGAGAAAGAGCAGCACGCTTCCTAATCTGGAGGATTTCTCTCCACCTCTTTCACCTGAGGAAAGAAGAAGGTTTTTTTAACCCTCCCACTGTCTTTATGGGTGACCCCGCGTGGAAAGTTGACCATTGAGCAGGATTGATGGTTTATCCCTTGAGGTCCATGTGGCAGGGGTGAGGTGGTGCTCTCTCCTCACCCCTGCCACATGGACCTCAAAGGATAAACCATCAATCCTGCTCAATGGTCAACTTTCCTCCCTGGGTCACACCCATTAGGACAGTGGGAGGGTTAAAGGGGGAAGCAGCTGTATCTTTTTATATCGGCTCATAAGTTGCTGAGGCAACCGATATCAAACCAGCAGGAGGAATGGCCGACACGTCAGGAAAAACAACAAATATCACAAACCACAGCTTAGCCAATAGCAATGGCTGACTTAAATTCATATGTACAGCAGACATTTAACCCAAAGAGAGCACAATGCTGATGGTTTTAGGCAGAATATTTATACTTGAATGCACAAAAATTCCCAAAATTCCAACTGCACAAAAATTCCAAATTAGATTAGATTAGATGAGTATTAGATACTCATTTATACAGTTTGCCAGCTAAGAAAAGTTGATTTGGGGGTGACTTTCATCTTTTTTCTTGCTTAGTTTTATTTTATTTTTTTTACTTTCCTCTTTTTTGTATTTGAACCGTTTTTTCCCTATTTCTGAAATTTTTGAAACCGAATTTCCAACAGGAACATTCCCGAGTGTTTAATACATTTTATTCAAATATAGATTTAGGAAATTTAAACTGTTTTAAGATGGCAGCAATCCACTTTGTCTTTACTTGATTTGGATTAGGCATTAGCTCATCAGTCCTGGGAAACTTTAGCCCTATTTCTCTGAACAGAGGCTGCTCAGTAAGCTGTGTAAAATTTTCATTGATTTTGGAGACTCAAAAAGGGCCAATAAGCCCCATTAGGACTCTGTGAAGCCAGACATGTAAGAGGAAAGCTCAACTATGTTCTCTGCTGTCCATACCTTCAGTTTTCCCAAGGGGAACACAGACAGATGCTTGTTTCCTCTTTGGTTAACAGGTTTTATGGGCAAAATCCACATGAACCAAAATATAATATTCCACATAATCTGCTTACACGAGTTCAGCATGTCTTAAGAACGTGTGTCTGTGATTCACCAAATAACGCAGCATGTCTAAATTGACAGATTTCAACAAAGGCATGCTGTCAGGATCAGAGAGATCGGCGTGAGTCATAGATGTAGGTTTGAAAGGGAATATTGTATTAGTCTTCCTCTTTGACTCATTTACTCAATTTTTTCTGTGTTTTTATTAGAATTGTTACTTTTTTGTGAATTTCTCTAGGTTGGATCTTAATTAGTTTTTATCATTCTTGTAGCCATTTTCACATATTTTCTAACTTAAAGTAACAACAGATGTTTTTTTAAACTTTAAGCTAGAGCTTTAATATTGATTTCAGTGATTGTTGGGTTAGAAATTTGACCAGTTTAATTTCTGAGACCACCCTGCAGCACTCTGCTGACCAAAGACTGCACTTGATAGTTTTGTGAAGCGGGTAGGTGTCCCATAGGGGGAGCTCTTTACTTGCTTTACGGCTTTTTGCTGTGATGCTAGAGTGGTTAGCATTTTCAGTTTATCGATCAATAAAAAGCACAAGAAGAAAAGGTTTGCTTTTTCTGTCTCTGCGTCTTGGCGGAGCCTGGAAGTAAAGGCCAGAGAGTAATGTCTTTGGAGGCGAAGTAAACTGAACATCAGTGCGGCCTATGCTAGTTTGAGGGAGCTAAAGGAGGCTACAAAATCACGGACTGATGGTGACCTGGCTTTGTTGCTACTGGACTTGTCTAGGGATGGGTACCGACCGAGCACCGATTCACATCATTTCAAACGGTGCCTCGTTTCGGTACCCGTCCATCATAACGAGAACTTGCCAAGACAGCTGGGCATGCGCAAGAGCATTTTGTCGTCGCTCGCTGCGAGCCAGTTGTAAACAGAGCAGCATGGTAGAAAGAATGCACGCTAAAGCTTGGGTCCACTTCACTAAATGTGATGGGTAACTGGGTGATGATGAAACCAGCGACAACAATCTAAGTGAGACATCCTTGTCTTAATCTGCTCTGGTAGGTAAATAAAATTAGCTTGATATGTTAGCTTACGTTTCGCTAATGGTGTGTTCGCTTTCTCCTCGGAACTCCGAGTTCCCCACTGGAAGAACATGAACGTGCTCTAAAGTTTGGC